TTCCCGAAGAAGACTTACTGGTAAGTCGTCCAGGAAAAGTCAAATATCTGACACAATTCGGTCAAATGCAAAACTAGCCCGTTTTTCCTAGACGACTTACTTATAAGTCGTCCAGATTTTTTTTTTTTTTAACATACAAAGCTGGAAGACTTAGAAGTAAGTCGTCCAGCTGGAAGACTTAGAAGTAAGTCGTCCAGCTGGAAGACTTAGAAGTAAGTCGTCCAGCTGGAAGACTTAGAAGTAAGTCGTCCAGCTGGACGACTTAGAAGTAAGTCGTCCAGCTCATCCAGAAGATTTACGAGTCAGTCTTCTACGCGAACAGATCTGAAAAAAATTTCAATTTCATACCTTAAACTAGGTGAGATGACTTTCTTAGCACACAAAGTCTTCTCCAACCACCCAGAATATCAAATGAAAGTAACCCACCAAGAATTGTATGCTTAAATGGCTCTATCAACCATAAAAAAATTTGAATCAAAGGCTTAGGTTTTTTGTATGAATATGGAGACAAAGTGAAGGAGATGTTGTTTTTAGTTCATAACAATTGAGAAAGAGAGAGTGTAAATCGATTTTAGGTGCATTAAGAGCTTCAAATTGGTTGTTCATGGTAGTTAGGGTATTGATGGCAATGTCAATCTTGTAAATACTTGAAGATGATGCGGTTGAGAGAGTTAAAAAACAATTTTCAAAAAAAAAAAAAGTGTAATGGCATTTTCGTAAATAATGTGAACAGATGGGGTGAATAAGACAAACGAAAAATCAAAAACAAAGCATGTGTAGTGCTTTCCTATGGTCTGGCTTGCCAACCATTACTCACAAAGAAAAAGTAGCATGGAAAGATCTCTGCTGCCCCAAGGAGGAAGGGGGACTTGGTATCCGGCGTTTCAGTGACACATCTACTGTCTTTGCTTTAAACCTTATACGGAATCTATTTTCCCTAGCAAGTTCCCTATGGGTTGCCTTCTAAAGAACAGCTCATACTGGGATGCAAATGAGAAGAAGGGATCGTGGATCTGGCGCAAGTTGCTCAAACTTCGTTCTATAGCCTATGACTGCATTCGCTACAAGATTAGGAACGGTGAAGCTGTGTACTTTTGGTTTGATAATTGGTTGGAGATGGGCAAGCTTCTTGATACAACAAGCGTGCTAGGTCTCAACTACTTTGGTGTAAGCAGAAATGCTACCTTAGCAGAAGTGGCAGGCGAGGATTGTTGGAATATTAGCAGATGTGGGCAGCGGAGACACCCTCTAATTTGTGACAAGATTGCATTGGTTTGCCGGCCAGATGCAAATGCGGGGCCTGACCAAGCGTTGTGGAGACATGATCATGATGACTTCAAGCCTAGTTTCTCTGCCTCTAAGACATGGAACTACCTACGTACCAAGCAAACAAATATTCCTTGGCATAGGCTGGTGTGGTTTCCTCAGGCCATTCCAAGACATTCCTTTATGGTATGGCTGGCTTTCAAGGATAGATTATCTATTGGTGTAAGGATGAGAGATTCGGGATTAGAGCAAGTTTGTGTTTACTGTGGGGAGAAAGATGAAACCAGAGACCACTTATATTTTGCTTGCCCATACACTTTTACTGTCTGGATGAATGTCGCAGAGAAGCTACTTGGTTCTGAAATAACACCGAACTGGGAAGAGACTGTTGTCTCCCTACTGCGTCCGCATAGGAACATACTTAATACAATGCTCTTGAGATTGGTTTTCCAGACTTCTCTTTATGTGTTATGGAAAGAGAGTAACTCTAGAAGTCATGGTGGTACTTGTGCATCAGTGGAGAGGACTACCAACAGTATTGGAAAGCTGGTTAAGAATCGCATCTCTTCTCTTAAATATAGGGAGAGTCACAAGCTGGAGCCTCTACTAAGGAGATGGTTCGAAGTCTATACCCATTAGGACACATGATTCTTTAATTTTTTATTCCATATTAGCTTTTCATCACAATGTAAATCCAACGTCGCCAAAAAAAAAAAAGTAAATCCAACTTTCAATTTTGATTAATAAATTTGAAATTTCATCAAAAAAAAAAAACCTTCCAGTAGTATCTAGGGAACTTCCAGTAGTATTTTTTACATTCAAGGTCATTCAAGGTCTTTTTAAAACTTCCAGTAGTATCTAGGGAACTTCTAGTAATATTTTTTACATTCAAGGTCATTCAAGTTATTTTTAAGACTTTCCTCAAAATTCTAAACTTACTAAAGGTCGAGAAGACTTACCCAGAAGTCTTCTAGTGCTCTTTCAAAACCCTAAAATCAAATATATATAACTAATCACATACAAAAACTTTATTAAACTAAATTAAATTTATAAAGTGTTTAATATATACAAAACTAAACACATATAGGTAAAATTTACTTTTTTTACAAAAATTGTTAAGATTCCACAATCTAACCCTAAAACACATGCAATACTGCAACATAGTTACCAAACCCTAAACCAAAGAATATCATGACTAACTTACATTCATCCATCTATCTTGAAAACTATTCTGTTTTATTAAATCTAAATTTACATCATTTAAAAATGTCAATAATTACTGATTTTTTCACTAATCAAAATATATTTTATAAAATTTATAAATTATTTTTAATATCTATAACATGAGATCTCACTCGCAAAGTTATAATGTAAACTACAATCCTGTTTTTTTGTTTGGTCACGAGGGAAAGTTGGTAATTTCACTAGTTTTTGAATTACTTTTGCATTAGATTTGAGTTTGGATACACTTTTACTTTTAGATTCAAGTTTTGAACTATATTTGACAAATTTCCCACTAAAAATGAGTCAAAATTATGATTTTTATTTTAATATATAAGATTAACCAAATGCATTAACGATGAGTAGGGCACTTGAATCTATTTTACTAAATACTAGGTGTTGACCCGCGCCCTGCGTGAGGTGAGATTATTTTGACTTTGATCGAACAATAATTTGGTATATTAATTTGTTTAACTAAAAATAGGTAGTGGATGTGAATTAGTAATGAAAATCATAAAGTCATATAATGAGATATTAGTATAGCTGCGAAACGAAGCATTGATTCATAGCTATTTGTTTTCACTTTTTGTCTTATATATCTGTTTGTCTTATAGATACATGATGATATAAAAAAATTAAGAAATCGTCTACTAAAAAAGTCGTAAATAAATTAAAATAATTAATATCATAATAAAACATAGAGAAACAAAACATGATATAATGAGAAAAAAGTATATTAAAATAAAATAAGTAATACGTCAAAAAGAGAAATAAAATAAAACTCGATCATTTCTAAAAAATTTAACTTACTCTAGCATCGAGGAAGACCATTTCGATAGTCTCCCCAGCAGCTGCAGAATACTCTTTCCAAAGGCGGACAATTTTCACTTGAACCTTCCATTGGTTCTTGAAAGGCTTCAACTCAGATATAAGGTTCATGGCGGCCATAGAAGATGTGTAGGTTTATTCTTGC